TGGATGGATGGATGGATGGATGGATGGATGGATGGATGGATGGATGGATGGATGGATGGATGGATGGATGGATGGATGGATGGATGGATGGATGGATGGATGGATGGATGGATGGATGGATGCGAGATTGATCGATAAATGTGTACAGGACGGATGGATACGAGATAGATGGAGAATTGGGGATGGATGGACATATCTAAATACATATAGAGATCAGAGCAACTTGGGCGATTATCTGCGACGACTCTGATTGGATAGGCGAGTGGATGAGAAGACAAACAATTGTTGCATTCCAAAGAACCCAAACTAACCCTTTTCATACTTGGGTCCTTTGGAAGTTAGATACTTTTATCTAAGCTCTAAGTCCTGCTATAATTCAGTACTGGGCTCGTTGGAGATGTTTATTCACTTCCAGATCATTCAAAGCAATCTGCTGTTTAAGCTACCATGGGTAGGGCAAGGAGGGGTTATAAGAGTCACTTGTAGGCGAGCGGCTGCCTGATGATACCGGAGGGCACCTTGAGGCACGCGGGGCTGCTGATATGCGGCGGCACCTCCAAACGGCAGCGGAGACCAAAGACCTGTCTGTCAATAGCCAGCGAACGATTCAACACTCGCATGCGTTCACACACCTCTCCCAGGCGATCCTCTACCATTTGCAGCTGTTCTCTGCAATTGAAAAAAAAAAAAACGTTGAGATTGTAACTGACAACTTGCCTATCCGGGATTCCATATGATTATCCATTTAAAATTTCAACTATCCAAATATTGAAGTGCACATTAATTCGTCTATCCATCCATCCATCCATTCATGCATTCGTCTGTCCCTTCACCCACTCTCTTCTCATTTGGACGATCATTTATTCAAATCAAAGTCCCTAAATCTGTTCATCCATGCATTTAAAGTGGCATGGGAATGGCCTTCCATCCATTTATTCATATTACAATCTATCCATCTATCCAATTGCACACGTTGGTTCTGTCCTGCCCTCCGTTTATTCATCCGAGTTCTCTCTCCATCGAGAGATCTAATCACCTTTTTACATCTCTGACGGTCCGTTCCGGGCCCATTCATCCATTCGGCCAAACATCTATTCACCTGCATAAGCCCACTTCCACATCCATTTCTGAATGAGCAATTAACCTCGGTTCATTCATCCCTCATTCGTAAATTCACCCGACCATTTGTCTGTCTGTCAATCAGGATTCATTTTTACTCATTAATTAGTTGTCACCGTACCATGGTGCAGAAAACACATTTTTAATCGCTCAGAAAAAAAAAAAACAAATAAAATGCTGCCTAAATAATACGTGTATTATTGCATTGCATTTATAGTCATGAACGCAAACTTTATGGTAAAAGTGGTTCATCAACATCAACTCTCAACTGGCGCCATATGCAAAAATATTCTACGATTCAGCTTTCATGTCTGCCAAAACAGTTCATCCGTCACCCACCCTCACACGTAGGATTGTTTATTTGTTTTCCTATGCTTACCTTCCTGTGACTGATGAGAGAGGGAGGAAATCGCTAGGATCCAGACCGGTGTTCTCGCAAACTCCAGATAATCACATCGACTGAAGTTTACTTACGGAAAATGCACGTTTTAGTTCATTTTATTTTAATTTACTTACATTAAGGAACACTTATAGCGACAGTTAAAGCAGGACTTGATGTGTTGAGGCATTTGAGGCAGTTAATGTTGCCAAAAGGAAAATCTTATGCCTCTCATTAAGAGGCATATCTGATGCAGATGACATTATGGATCTGGGGTCTGAGGGCAAACAGCCCTAAATGATCTCCAGCTATGGAAATTCATGTTTATACTTGATGCTTTATACAAATACACATTTTCATCTCCATTTAAAATATTTAATTGGGTCATTTGGTCAAAAAAACTTGCTATTGAGTGCACTTATTTGGAATAGTATAACATATTTGTGAGGATAAAAACTGGTTTAAGAACTCCTTCTTCGATGAATTAAAGTACCAAAACTGTCGTCACATTGCCAAGATCTGCGGCATTCGAGGGGGTGCCACGAATAAAAGAAGGATGTGTGACTTTCTACTTAATTTCTCACAAGTAGACACATTGATTTGAGATAAAACTAGTAAGAACCGCTAAACGAAATATTTTTATGCTTCCATTATAATTCTAGAATTGAAACGGCAGTTTATCGTTAGGCAGGTCAACAGTCCCAAATCCAATTGCCGAAGTCTGAATCTCTAGCGTTAAATTGAGACCTCCTGAGGCTAATCTGCGAAAGTAGCTGAATTTCCATCATCGAAGTCCATCCACAAAGTTACCATTAATTCGTTGATAAGGCAAAACAAAAACGTGCCTAGCCTTGACAATTTGTTCATCCAGTGCATCAATGGCCTCAATCAGATGACTGTGCTCCTCGTTGAGGCCATAGTAAACGGCATCCTTAGCGTTTTCCAGACCTGGACGTTTAGTGCGCTCTTCGGTGCGTGTCTCCGACAACTTCTGCTGCGCCACTTTGGAGGCTCGTGACGACTGCCACTCGGCAATATCCATTAGCAGCTTCTCTTTCATCCTCTCTAGCTACAAGGGAAAAAGTAAGTACTCCACTAAGAGGTGGACGGACTGAGCCGGAGAGAATGAATGAATGAATGGATACACCTCCACTTGCTGATAGCGTAGTTCGCGCAAAGCCGAGCTTGTCTCAAAGATGCGTCGTCGTAGACGTTGTGACACATCCTCCGCCTTTTGTCCCAGCCTATTAGACGCTCTGTTCAGGGCATCATAGAGCTGCTCGCACAATGCCCGACCCTTGGCAACACAATCTTCACCTCGACTCAGAAGATCGCGGAAAAGATCCTCATATGTCTGCAGCTCCAGGTAACTGGGATGTGGTAGACAACAAAGTGGTTTATGGATAGACGGGTGATTATATGGGGTCATGTAATTCAGGTCCACATTATGGTGAATGTATTTTTTAGCATGTAAGTAGCCGGCGTCACATGTATGTGATACATGTGCCACTGTTTCCAAATTCATTTACTTTGTCAGCTGTCTGTTCTGCTTGCCATACGACTATCTGACCATAATGCCCAAAAAAGGCGACGAACACCATTTGAAGTCCAAAAAAAATTTAATGGGACGAAAAAGAACGAGGACAAGCAGTGTCTTCTTTCAACGAACTGTGGAACATAAAGCCCATTCTCTGCAACATCAACAAAGTATTGAACAGCAAATTAATAGACTTTGAATTTTATTGTCATCCTGTTGGTGCAGGTGTTGACAGAACGATTCACCATCGCTCACCTTGAGCACAACTGGAATCTATTCTTCACGCATAATTCTACAGCTGCAGTCATTAGCAGTGCAGCTGTCTTTGAGGGATTCGGCACCAAAATCTAATTGTTAAATTGTTGTCTTCTGACAGTAGGTGTTTATATGGTGCTCTTCCTTTCTACTCCAATTTAGGCTCATAAACAAATGCGTTACGTATATTTGACACACAGGCTTAAGTAAGGAAATGGGACTTGGCACAAGCATGACTTGACTGGCAAAGGCGTTGATTGCCATTGCATTTCAGGACTTACTTGCTAACATTACGTGTACGGAAGGGCTTAAAGCCAATGTTGGCAGACTTTTCGTTGGCGTTATGGACACCCACATCGATTTCAATGGTCTCTTTTTTATTGGCAATGGCCTCTTCTGCCTCTCTGCGAATAGCGACCAACGCCTTCAGATGCACAACTGCGTCATCGATTATGCCTTGTAACTCATCTCGTATCTCCTTCTGCAGTTGAGCTTCCTGGTCAAAGTAAATGTAAGTAGGGGCGAGACAATCCGCAGACCGTCAAATGACTGGGCTGAGATAAAATGTAATTATTTGGGGCAGAAGGATAGATACATGATAGGATAACTTTAAAAAGTGGACACATTGGAAGCAGCAATACGAAAAGAAGAATAATGGAAATTATCTGGAATGGGCAGGAAGTTCTTGAAGTCATACAAATCCGTTGGAACCAGATATTACCCTGCCAAGATATTCCTGTACATCATCAAGTACGTAATCACCATCACGTCGAGTGTCTCGATGCGTAAGTGACTCCAAATTGACGGTCATTGCGTCATTCAAGTTGGCAAGGAATTGGTCTGCCTGGATCTTAATGTCACCCAGAGTTTGCGTCACTGAAATAATCGCGTTCAGCAGGTCACGCAACATATGCACCCACTCGCGGTTGCATTGGATGCGGTTGCGCAAGCGGTTATTTACGTCCAGTTGGTAGTACCTAAAAGGCAAATGCTTTAAAGAGTAGTCTAAGAGACCTTAATGACGGTAACTACGGTTCTATCACTATTATGAAATAATGAAAGCAAAGACGACTCTTTGTTCGATTGGTCTTATCAGAAGATTTGATGCCTGCCTATCTTTACTTAGGTGACAGTGGTGGAGCTTTTGCCTAAATGGAAGGGGTAGGACATCGAAATCAACAAAAAGATGGCAAAGAAGTAATTAAGATGCGAGGTTCAGTCCTGCTAAATGTTATTACATAGGTGGGCAAAAAAAGTGCTAGTGTTTCAAACTCTAACATGACAGGCACAAAATCGTAATTAGATGGGAAATGAATGAATTGTGACAAGGTGGAGCTTGAAGGTGGCGTTGATGTGAGCTTAAGCCACAGTTCAACCTGAAAACTAAATTCCGCTTGTAGCCGTTGCCTATAAGAAAAGAGAATTAATAGATTCAATTACCGAATTTGCAATTAAGACATGATTAATGAGGCTTTTAAGAAAAGAATCCCTATGGTTCAAATTTCTGGAGATAATGATGCAAATTGCAGCAGTATTAGTAGTGGTAGTGGCAGAAATAGTTCTGCTATATTTATCTACACTAGCTCCTAGCCTCCTCGGGTCTTGCTAATCACCTTGGTGTCATTGTGTTCCATCTATGTTACTTCTGATGGCAGTCTATGGTTCTCTCTATACATTCATGGCAAAGTCGCATTTGGAAATATGCATTTTATAACATCAGAGTGAACACGAGGGCTATCGGGGGAGTAGAGATAGTAGTATATCAGTAAACAAAGTGCTCACTTTGCAAGTGCATCACTTTCAATGCGAATGGCTTTGCCGCGTTGTCGCATTAGCTCGGCTTGACGCCGCAAGTCATCGGAGGCACGACTGTAGGCGTGCAGCGAGTGGTACCATGACGGGTACGGATATTCATGAGGTTGCTTGTTGTCGGTGGCCATGGTTTAGGCTGGATGTTGCAATGGACAGTGTAAGGTAAAAGAAGTATAGTAAAAGCACTTATGTGCCTTAGATGGGAAAAACCAAAACATGGGGAGTGAATGAGTAAATGAATGAATTGAAAGGCGGTTTGGTTGTTCTCAGTAGTTATTTGGCCATAAATAATTTGTTCTAATTTAAAAACGGTAAACATGAGCAACAGCATAGCCTAACTTCAAGGGCGGGTGAGTAAGCAGTATTTTCGGGACAAAAAACCGTACCAACTTTCAAACAGTTATGAAAGTCACCACTATTTCTGTCAAGCAGCTTAACAATTGATAGTACAATTGTGCAAAAAAGCAGATTTTCCACAATCATTGATTACATTAAGCATTAAAGAAAACCAACTTTTACTATGTGCGATAAGGTGTTATTGCGCGGCGTCGCCTACCGCTCAATTTAACCATAAGGATACAAAATGCAAATTTACTGCAGAACTAACTAAATACTATCAAATTAACTCAGCTTAGGGATTATTTGGAATCATTTAGTGAGAACACAGGGCAGTTATGAAAGAGTACTTTGTCAACAATTAAGGCACTAGGCCTAAAAAGTTAATGATTCACACATAGTTGCCTACAAAACCTCATCCGTTTTGCAACAGCTTTAAGTTTTAACAATTGCATTTAAAGGGACGCTTAATGAAAAGTGCAAAGCTGCTTAATAAACTTTCATTATTTTAAGCCCAGTATATTTGCTGACTACTATAAATATTAAAATATTTAAAAAAGCAGTGATCCAGTTTATTTTCATTAAACCCGTGCATCTGTTGGACTTATAAGTGCACTTCCCATAAAAGTTTTGTTAGTCGCATCGGTGAGAGGTTGAAAGTTTAGCTAAAGCATGCTTGTAGGATTTTGGCGCGAATTGAGTGTAATGCTTACATTGTTTTAATGAACCTATCAGAGAGAAGGCAAGCTTACAATTCGAGCCTGGTGACAGAGTCGGCGTCTCCCAAGCCTGAGAGCGATCGCGCTTCCCCCCCTCTCCAAACTTTGTACTTGTTTTCCCGAGCCAATTCCCTCTAGTAAATATGTCGGAATTAAGTCAACTGGGTTGTTCTAAGAACACTAGGAACAGAAAAGAGAAAATTTGCTTGTCTCGCTCTACATAGATATTGGATACGCAGCAAATCCCAAATTCGTTCACGAACTAGAATTAATCCAGTCGCTAAATTAAGGGATGGGTAACAGATTGTCCTATTAGCGCATCAACGGCATCAAGCAAAATTTAATCTCTTCCTTTTTTTCAAAAAACGGATATATTGCGAGGGGCGCTGCTTTGGTATATCATTTAGGCCAAAAATGATCTTGACATGTGGTAAAATCCTTCCGAATAACTCTGGCAAATAATTGAGTGGGTTTACCGCTAAGTCATTTTCTGCTAATATGCTTAGGAAGTATTAAGCATTTGAAATTAAACTGCTCCTTTTTCTAATTTAAAATGTTCCTGTTTTAGGATATAGGAACCAAAACAAATCTTTTATACTAAAACAAACGCGCGGCACTAGCAATAACTTTGTTTGCTAAAAGTTGTTGCCTTACTGTAATATTTTTCTAAAAAATGGTAGGTGGGGCGGGGAATCGCAATTTTGTTTGACGATTCGGGTACAAAATATAATCTTGCTTGTTGAGTGGCTTGTTTTGATTTCGGTGATTTTATTGGCTGGTGGGGGCTCATTTCTAGGCCGGTGTCGAGTGCGTTGAAGATTTGTGTTGTTTCAAAATTGCGGTTGCCTGATCGGCCATTTTGGTGATTACACCACAGAATTTTGCGTCATTGCCCTAAATTGTGATTGCTTTTTTGCCCTTTTGGACACTGCTCCGTGTCTCTGGGCGGTTGGGTTTTGTTTTTATTACATTTTTTGATGAATGGGTTCTAGTTGCCCTCGTTTTTACGTGTTTGCATGTAGTGGCTTAATTTGTATCACTATAGCAGGTATTTTTGCCTTAATTTGCCAAAAATCGAATAGTTTTATTTATTTGGCTCAATGGTAAGCGGATTTGCGCATCATTGGTTAACACAGTGTTAGTTACCAATACCTTGTCCGCCACTTTTCATATTTTGTGTCGTATTAGTTTACTAATGATTGCAGAACTCGCTTTTTCATGTAGGTTGTAGGTCATATGTAAGTAGGTTATGTTCTGCCCGATAATTTTTCAAAGTTCTCAAATGACTTGGTTGAATTTGAATGTGCTTGTAGCACCTGTTAATTTTCAATTCACCAGTAGAATCAATCCCCCTTCTTTTCGTTTTTCATTTCATTAGAAGTAATGTGAAATTTTCTTTAACATAGTTTCTCGAAATGCCACGCTCAACACGTAGCTCGAACGCCGCCAAGAAGAAGGCATTAGGTGTTAGTAACAGCAGCGATAGCAATAGCAACCGGACTGCCTCGTCCAACGACGATAAGTCTGATACGCCACGAAAATCGCTTCGTTCTGCCAAAGTCTCACCTGCTCCCTCGGTCGCTTCCTCAGGATCTACGGTTTCCAATACTACAGCTACTCGCTCGCTTCGAAAGCGTGCTCCCCCCTCTCCAGAAAAAACAGCTATTAGTGACCGTGCGGACTTTAAGAGGCGTCGCGTCTCTGTACCTCCCAGTCCTGAGCCCTCCCCCACTCCCACACCCGCTAAGGGAGCTACTCCCACGGTTCGAAAGCAGAGGGGACCGCAGAAAGAGTCCTCATCTCCGCGCATTTCTACTTCGAAACGCGCTAAAGTTGCATCGCAGGGTGAGCTGACAAAAGGTATCACTGAATCTGCGTTCGCCACTCCCCTCGGTGGCTTTGTCTGTCAGCATTAGTTAATGTACACATGTCCTAACTTCCACTTTGTCTTGTCCGAAAAGCGCCTGAGCCTGCAAATCCTGAGCCGCCACCAGCAGCAACGCCATCGTTGAAACGTCGACGTCAGACGGTGAGAGAACGTGGTAGCGGAGCAGAAGAGGAAGAGGAAGAAGAAGAACACAGTTCTTCCTCCCCTGTTATCGCCGTTCCCACAGCCAAAAGACGTGGCGCGAAACGCAGTCGAAGGGCACCAAGGAAGACTTTGGCGGAGGCGGAAGATGCAAAGGCAGCAACACCGATACCAACCACGGCAGAAAAGGAGGAGGTGAAGAAAGTGGAAAAGGAAGATCAACAACTGGAAAAGGGAGAAAAGGCTGAAGAGTTGTCTGCTTCATCGCCACCAAAATCTCCTATTACAGAAATGAAGACGTCATTGAGCAAGAAGGAGCTGCTGGCCCTACAGCGCAGGCAGTTGCTGCAGCATCTGGATCATTACGACCTTTCTGACCTAACAAGTCTCTCGAGCTGTGAGTTGGACGTGATTTTTTTTTTTCCAAATCACTGCTTAGATTCATCAACTTGTTTAAACCTTGTTAGGTATGTGCGTGTGATCGTTAACCGAACTGGTTGCTTGTGCACGCCATTTGATAAGTGTTGTGTTTCATGTGTCTCCATCCAAATCTGCAGGTGGCTTTTGACATAGGGATTGAAAATGGCTCAACTGGGGGTTTGGGCGCGCGGCGATCCACGAGGCTGGATGCTATGTTCACAGCATCACAGTTATTTGATTTTCGACATCGGCTCTCCCAATTCCATGCACTAAAGTATCTATGAGGCAGGCCCGAAGATAATGATAAATTCTTATCATTGTAGACAGAATTCCTAGTTTAAAATTGAAGCTTTGCCTCATTGATTTTAGTTGGGATTGAATTACTATGTCATCTGATGGGTTACTCACCATGTAACTGTTCATTTTGAGGCTGTTAGATGTTTTTCTGGAAGTCAAATTTGTGTAATAATAGTTTTGTTTTTCAAGAAACGTCTAATGTTGCCCAATACTTAACCGACTAGAAGGAACTCAAATCGGTTTTATCCCAGAACCACACTTCCACAATTATATGCTTACTTTGGTTATTGCAAGTAGCGTTAATTCGGTGCTCTCTCTTTCTCTGAATTACCAACTTGCAATTTACTAACTGGACCATGTTTAGCACATCCTTGAGTGGTGAATGTACTTTTGTCACGCTGACAGGAGTTGACTCGGTTTCACGTGACTGCACAAACTACTTTAAGGTCTACATACAGTCGCCTAAGAGTATTTACATGAAAACTGTCCCTCCTTCTCGGGCATAACTACTTCTACTTTTCTTAACGGCTTCGTTTACTTGCATTGCTATTCTCTTTGGGAATCCAAAAGAGGCTTCCCAAGGGGCTTGCGATGTCCCACCTTTTTTAGGTTGCTCCCTCTTTTCCATCTTCCTTAACACAGTTACTCGACCATCACAGCCTAGATCATTTAACGCTTAAATGCGACATAGAAAATACCATCCATCGGATTAACCAGTTTAATTGCTGCTCAAAGACTCAAGTAGCAATGCTCGGAATAATGCATCTTTCCAAGTTCTGCCAATCTTGGGAAGCAAGAATGGGTGTAGTTATTTATCGCAAACTGGCAGAACACATGCCATGTATTGTTGACTCCGCGGGCATGTGAGAAAAGTGGGGTGTTATGTACATGTGATGCGAGCAGCGAACGTGTTAAATAGTCTGAGTTTCTGCTGTCTTTGACGCCTTCGTTTTTAGTTAACTATCAAATGGAAAATAATCTCCATTGGATTTACAGTGCTCGCCACATGGCCGGAGTCGGAGCTACGGGTAGCGGTGACGGTGCCACCTTCGTTACCAATCAGCGCCTCACAACGTCTTTGGATCTCGACCGAGGGATCGCCAATATCACGAACCACCCTGAATGGCGATAACCATGAGGCGGACGCTACACCAACAAAAGCGGCGGAGGTGCTAGGTGCAAAGCGCGCGCGTCGTCACTTCTCACCTGTGCCACGCACAGACGCCCGTGGCGGTGGTCCGGGTAGCGGTGGTTTAGGTGAACACGAGGGGGAGAACGCAGAGGATACTATGGAGAAGAATCAGCATCCACGCCTTCTTGACATTTTCTGCGTGGCTTCATTTACACTACCCGCTTGGAAGGGTAAGATTGTCATCGTCCTTTTTAGCTACATTATCTTCCACTTTTACATTCCCTCCGGTAAGGCGTCTTTTCTTCGCCCATTTAAATTGACTATAGTACCTCTTTTGTATTCCCCCTCTGTCCCTTTTTTACGAAAGATAAAGACACGGCGGCAGGTGATGGGGCGCAATTAGACGAACACGAGCACCTCGTCCGCGACATCGCGGCTATCAATCCGGATGTCTTTTGCGTCAAACAGGCTCACGCGGACTACGCTGCCTTGTACCTGAGACCTGAGCTCAGCAGGTGCGCCCATTTCTACTTTTTTATCTCTTCTTATAGTGTCTAGCGTCAATCTGCCTATTTATCCTCTTCCAGGCAGGGCTACCAATGCTCCGGAGGTACGGTTGGTACGACAACCCCCTTCCAGTCTTTCATCTTCTTCAGTCGCGAGGTCTTCTCTGAGGTTGCCTTCCATTGTCGTCCTGTACAGTCCATGGCACGCAAGGTATTACAGTTATTTCACATCTTCCGAAGGCTTTCGGCTTTGGTGAGCTGATGGGGGGTGACTAAGTGGACGAATCAGCGATGGATGCACAAATGGATAGAAGGAGTGTACTTTTTTGATGCACCTCAACGATACCCAAAAGAGGCGTCAAGTTAAATCAGAAGGATTTCGCCTCGTTCTATTTGTTCTACTACAACTTGAGGGAACTAGATCTTTCCTCCTATGTGAAATAACCCTCGTGCTGTCTTAAAATGACCTTTTATAGTTTGATAATTGAAAAATTTACTGGTTATTGCATCACCTGATCTCGTGCATAACTACTGAAAGTGCAATCCAGCTTGGTGTGAAAGGCGTTGTGCTGCTTCTGAAAGTCACGACATCTAGCAGCCCTTCATCTTTTGTAGTGTAGGAAAGATGCAAAAGGGGCAAAACAACTCTGCGGTTTCAACTGCAGTTCCCGCAGTCATGCTGGGCTGTCTGTGTCTCAAGTTGGTCTGTTATTCTTATTTTAGTTGGTGAAACACAGCGCCTACGCACAGCTATGGCGTGACACACTGAACGAATCGCTCAAATCGTCCTGTGCCGGCGATCGCAGTGGCGGTAATGCATCAAACGACTCACAATTACTTGTCTCAGTTCTACGTCACTTGGCCACTGGCTCTCTTCTTCTCGTGGGCTGTCTTACGGAGCATCTTCACCTTGCGGAGTTTCCCTCTCCACCACTTTCATCTTCCACCACCGCTGTCGTGTCCACTGCCACCCCCATCACCGTCCCATTCGTTGAGTGCGCTGGAGGTGGGGGGAGTGGTACTGGGGGTGGTGGTTGTTGCGCCTCTACCATCACGGTTTCCTTTGCCGGTTGTCATTCCTCCCTCGGTGGTTCCCCCTCTGCAATCTCGGCCCCCACTGAGTGGTGCCCCCCCTCTTTCGATTCTCGACCCGATCTGGCGGCTATCAATGCCTCCGGGTGTTTATGGGCATTGCACGAGATCTGGCAGGAGGTTCAGGAGTCCGGACAGGCTGGGTCGACGACACCACTTTTGAACGGTTACAGCGGCAATGGCCGTCCCCTGCCATCGTCGGCGGTGTCTCCGTCACCGATGCGTTGGGTGCTTTGTGCCAATCTGGAGGCGTCGCCAAGCTCTCCAGCATATCAGATCTTTCGTGATGGCTATCCCTCAGATGAGAGCATTGCACGACTCCGTGCGGTTCGTAATGTCCACCTGAGAAATGACTTTCTCGATGCTACTGTGAGAATCCTTTTTCATCCTATTTTTATATACCTTTACTTCTACCTCACCTTTGCCTTTTTGTGTCGATGTTTCTAGTCCCTCCTCGACCTTCTCTGGCATGCCTTTCAGCATCCCTGTACAGATGTCCGCAGTTGCTACCATTCGGTTATGGTGAGTTTTACTAGTTGGAAGTGTGAGGCTTCCTTCCAGAAAAGGAAGAAATGATTCATGTATTAAAAAACTAGTCTCTGTGGTGCGTCCTGGTGGCGTTATCTCTTCAAATTTGTTTTTTATAGAGCACAGAGCCTCCCTTCACTCGATACACTACTGTGACATCATCATCCTCATCAGCGACAAAGACGACTGTGATTCCGCGGAAGTGTGTGGACTATATCTTTTGCTCGGGTTCAAGTCTCCATCCCCGCCAGGTCCTGATACCACCCTGTCGAGCTACGCTGGGAGTCGCGCCCGACTCGGTGGGCCAAATGCAACATCGTATCTGCTCCACTGTTCCCTGTGCTGCAGCCCACGAGACCGCGTTCTCATTAGCCTCCAAAGTGGGCATCGTGGCGACTTCGACGGCACCGACGACGGCTTAGCATTGCTGGCTGCCTGGCTCGAAAGCAACTACCACGTAGATTTTCCCTTCTTCTTCTTTTAGGTGATGTGTGTCCGTCGTCTTCCGTCTTCTACTCTTCCCTTGCTTCCCCTCCCCCTCCCTTCTCTCTTGCCCCAATCTTTTTTTCTCCTCTTTGATCGTTTCCTATGACTCCTCATCTGCCCCGTCCGTTCGTACATCCGTCCTTTTCTACCACCAGGACTGGCTAATCACCCCGTCGAGGTTGTAGGCTCAAGTGGTCCTGTTTCAGCCTTTCTCTTATTCTCTTCTCCCCTCACCTGTCTTGTCAAAGTAATCGCGTCAACAGTGCAAGAATAAATGGAGTGATATGAAAGTACGATGGTCTGGAAGACGTCAACACAAACGAGTTGTGTCAAGTACTAGTGTTCTCGCCATGAGTGGACAGAAGGGGGTGTGATCTGGCGACCCGGCGCAGCTTGATGGATGTGTGTCGTTGTGTTTGAAATTGATAGACGTGTCTGTTGTTGCTCAATCAATTGTTCTTTTGGCAGGGATGATAACAGACGTAAACCTCAGAAGAGTTGTGTGGTTGTAAAGGTAGCTACGATGATGTTATGAGGCGTGCAAATTGGGGAGGAGATTTCGTGATGGGCGCGCGAAAGGGTTGGGAGGATGGTGGAAGTGCAATCAAATCGTGAAGGACAGAGGAATTTTAGATGAACTTCCTAGTCTCCTTAGCGTTTGGAGGTCGAGGTGGAGCCCGTAGAATTTCCTTGTTGTTGTGGTGTCAAGCACAGATGTAAGCTCCAATCTCTTGATGCGCCACTCTTTTGTGTCCATTCCACCGTCTTCTACGTTGAATACCCCGTTTCATATAATTTCCATGGAACCTGGTAGGAGCGATCCAAGCTCGTCTGCCTAGCGAACAGTATTGCACCCGGTCGTTAGGCTGTCGTTGCATAGACCTCCTGTTAAATTGGTTGTGCAGTATATGAAGAAGGTGCGCTGTGCGGCGGAGGAACAAGGTCCCGCATATAACATCTAGATTAAGTCATTTGGTTCTGCCAGTGGGTCCCTTCAAGATGGATAGATGCATCGCAATGAGGAGGGAGGACCATCCCCTCTTCTCGATGAACTATTTCGGCACCAATGTCTAGATTAACTAGGAAAGTACAGTGTCAGGGAGGACTCACAGTCGTGTTTGACGTGAGTGATGGTAAAACACTTCATTGACATTCGACATCCACGCAGTAGTGCCAAGGGCGAGTTAAAATTGGTTGCTTGTCGACTGAGCCGTGATGAGAAGGGGCTTTTGCACTCCCGCGTTGGTGGAGAGAATGAGAATACAATTGTTTAACTTCAACGGAGCACCCACTACTCATTCCACAACTTCAAGACATACAATGCTTTCCCACAAAACTATCTTGGCTTCCTGTGTGTACGGGTAGATGTGTTAATGTGTGGATGGATGGATGGACGGATGGATGGATGGATGGATGGATGGATGGATGGATGGATGGATGGATGGATGGATGGATGGATGGATGGATGGATGGATGGATGAAATCGGGGAGGAAAGTCGTCCTGATGATGAAGATTTTTAATAAAATGACCGTGGCTAATCTGGCTAAGGCATCTTGCCTTACCGCAATGGCGAAATTTGGAAGTTCGGTTCCAGTCCAGAAGGATGCATCTTCTCACCTTGATATCTCTGAAAAGTTATTGAAAGTCATCTGGAAGTACTCGAGGAGACCACGGTGAGGCATCAATTTGAGCAGGTGCACATTGCAGAGGTTAACTGAATGTCGAAATCTGCTTTGAGGAGGCTCTTCATCAAAATGATCATCACTAGAACCGGCAATCAAGCCTTTCACCAACAACACGCAAGATAGCAACGAATTCCACTTTTTCAAGATGTTCTGCCACCATCGTCTCCACCTTACGTTTCGATCGCAAGTGGGAGTGTCCCATCCCAATTTATGCCCAGAAAAGGTGAAAATCATTACATAGAGCTTAGGGAATTACCATCGTGGAATACGGAGAAGAAGGCAGCAACTGCCTGCGCCGTAGTGCTGGCAACTCCCTCCTAGTCAATGATGTTTTCACCTCTACTTCTGAGGGTTTTGGTGGGGATAAAGTAGCTAATTCTTCAGACATCCATCCATATATCCAATCATCCCGTATGCATCGCGTTTCCATCCATTAATCCTGCGTCCGTCCCGTAACCGTCCATTCATCCATCCATTAACTCATCCCGTATCCATCTATCCATCCATCCAACCTATACGAATCCATTCTGCATCTCTCCATCCCGTACCTATCCATCCATCCATCTTGTATCCGTCCATTCCTCCATCGCGTTTTCATCCACCCATCCCATCTTCTCGATGAATAATTGTAGCACCATCATCTAGGTTTGTTAACGGAATTCACCACTACCATCGGAGGAATGGAAAGAATGCGGATGAGGCGGTATCACTTAGCCTTAATTGAGATGCAAATATTCTCACGAATAGGACCTACATCCTGAGATGCTGCAATGTGGTGTCTCGTAGGAAAAAAAAGCGGGCCTTGCCCACAAATGACTCAGTAATTCGGGCTTTTTCTCAAGAAAACGAAGGCGAAGCCTTTTGTTAACAACCTTGAGTTCGACTGAACAGTGGCGAGTAGAGCGATTCCAATCGAAAGTGACCTTCGGCCTTCAGCAAGTAAACAAGTCGCAGTGACTGGACAATTCCGTCTACAGTTCACCACTCACCCATCCGTCCATCCATTCATATCGTATACATCCAAGCCGAAGCCATGCATTCAATTCATATCCACCCCCCATCTATCCATCTGGCCCCTACCCATCCACTCATCCATTTCGTGTCCATAACCTATTAGTGCAGTCCGTATCCATCCAGCCGTTCATCTACGCATATACGATCGAAGCAAGGATGGAGTATTGCGTGCAGTGGAATTTTGGAGTGCGCAGTGAATGCGTCGTTTCGATAGGGATAGTCAACGATATTTTCGCTCTTGCCACCAACGTGGGAGTACGAAACCCCCTTCTTTTCACGACTCGGTAGACAAGCAACCACTTCCACCTCGCCACGTTTCATAAAGTGCGTGGAAGAAGTGGAAAAGACATTGGTAGTCTCTGGAAGTGATTGTCAATGGTCAATGTGTGGCACTCGGCATCCACTACTGCGTGGATGTCGTTGTCAACGAAGTATTTCACCAACACTCACGTCAAACGTAACTGTGAGTTCGCCTTGACATTATACTTCCTTAGCTACTCTAGAAATTGATGCAGGAACAGTTCATCGAGAAGAGTATGGTCCCTCCTCCTCATCGCGATGCATCTATCCATCTTGGAGGGATTCATCAACAATTTATTGGGAGGCCTCTGCAACCACAGCCTGACGACCGGGTACATGCCGTTCACCATGCAGACGAGCTCGGATCGCGTCCACCAGGTTCCATGGAAGTTACACTAAACGAGGAATTCAACGTAGGGAGGAGATAGCGGAAGAGACAAGATTTAGCTCTCCTAGGTGTCGTTTTGATCGACAAAACAACCGAAAGACATAGCTGCACCCCTTCACCCCTCCGAACCTCCTATTTCCAGAATCTGCCACCCCCCCCCCCCCCCAACTTACTTCGCTCAAGCCCCAACCACTGCCCGTTTACGCATCCGCCAACTTGGCTACCAAGATCAAGGAGTGCAGAGAGACGACGAAGAATTCGCGGAGCGCGCACGCAAGAAAATAGACGACTCAAAGAAGGTCCATAACTGAACACTCCATGAGCTGAAGTCTTACTGCTCTTCCAATCCAGCCTCACCCGCGCCTACTCCATTCGTTCACATCCGAGACGTCCATTCCTGATCCTTTTGCCAACCCTTAACTGTTCCACTCATTCATCCATCAATCTGAGCGTTAAGCTGACGCAGTGAGCAACTAAGACGACCCAGTCCCCTTTCCAAACGGTATCCGCCACAGATGGTCCTGCCAAACTGTCATTTGCGTTTAATTACACCCACCTGCTACGCCACCGAAGACAGGAGAATAAAGCGAATTGCAATTCCAAATAGCATGACAATGAGGCATCCAAGTGAAAGGCAGCACACACGCACAGGAAGAAGTTGGTGCGTGGAAGGACGCGAAGGCGGGACTTGAAGGAGAAGACGCCTCAAATCTTTGCCAGTTGCTGTGACTGCTGCGCCGTCTGTGGTTGCGGATGCGCATTCTGTTCCTCGGAGGACTCGTCGCTCTCTTCGTCCGAGGCAAAAGCGTTGGCTGGCAAAAAGTAGATGTGCAACGATTGCTGAAAGCGGGGGAAGGAGAGTGGGAATTTTGACAATCATCAGGCAAAAATAAGATTGCAACTCTGGAATGACCTCAGTCAATCGCGGGGAGTGGATATGATTTTTGAGGACCTAAATCAAGTCTTAGTGGATTCAACCACCTCATTTTATACGAAAAATGTGATATGAAACTTGACAGTCAAGCTACCATCATAACTTCAACCACCCTTTGGATATGATAAACCATCAGCTTATGCTGCAAACAACTCTTGTCCTAGCAGATTTCTGGCCTAACTCCAGGCCCGTCAAGCGAAGGTGAGTCAGAGCAGTGGCAGAAAAACTGAGGTCACCGACATTCTCAGTTCCCAGAGAAGAGAACCTGTAGGGTGGGGAACCAAGCAGAAAGTACCAGAACGAAACTTGAAGGAGGCCTGGTCGCAAAACATGCAAATCCACTCCTCTTCCGTCGATGATTCATCTATTGTTCACTCCGGTTTAATGACCAACTAGGAGGGATTTTAATGACATAATCGCCAACTTCAGTCCTGTGATCCGCGGTAAGAGACATTGAGAAGCTCCAAGACATCATTCAGAGATAAAGGACCTATGAAAGCAACCAGCTCATTCTACAACTAGATTAATGATGTGAAGAAAGCTACCACCCTATTGTAAAAGACATTTAAAGGATAGATCCTATAAAATTGGCGAGGTAACAGCGTCCACCTTGTTAGGATCTTTGAGCATGAGGTAGGTGCCCGGTTCGCACTTCATGAAGTAGTCTATGACGCAGCGCAGGATACCCCAGGCGTTGTCCATGTTGAGGTTGATCTGTGCAGCAAAGTCCGTCGGGCGGAACTCGTGGGTGCCCAGGATCGCGTGGTGAGAGGTGTCCTTCGGGTTCACGCGGGACACAAAGCTGCGGAGATTAAAATGCAAATCTAATCCAGCAGTCGTTCCAACCAATTATCCGTCCGCCTTCTTGTCCGTTCACTCAGCACTCCACCCATCTCCCAAATCACTAGTTACCCAAAAGCCATTCATTCGGGTGCTTGTTACGGCTAAAATGATGCAAGAAGAGCGTTCAAGTCCACCCGGGGCTTCTAGTTTTCCAGGTTTGCAAGGGGAAACAACGTACGACAGAACCGCATGCAGTTGTCAGTGACAGATGTGTTCTGACCCACCGAATATCCAACGTACATAACGTTAGCCACTCCAGTTTAGTCCATATATCGCTTGACCAGATGGCAAACAACAATGGTAGTACGTGCACGCAACATTGTGTGGTTTCTTGTCCACTAATACAAGAGCATGAAAGACTCAGTGATATCGCGCTCAACAGCAAAACTTGATCCCAACTGTACCAGATCCTAGTCAACAGCCTCAGCAGCCATCCTAATCACTGCTCAATTCACCACGAGGAACGCCTGATCGACAAACAGCTAACCTGTCGTGATATTGTACAAGTCAAGCATTTTCTTCATGACAGCGGTGAGTACTAGCCTAGTCACTGCTCGCACTGGAGATCCAGGTGAAGTAAACATACTATCCCGGGATGGCTGGGTCCCTCTGTGCTGAAGTTTTCCAGGTGTTAGTTAAACGCTGGAATAAGTGTGAAAATGCAGGGAGGGTGGTGTGGCAGGATGGCGACAAGACTGTAGTTCCCATCCCTTGAAATCTGTCCATTTAATTTCATGGGCTCGTAAGTCCAAGCAAGTACATAGAACTTTGATTTCTGCATAAATGACTTTGATAAGTTGACTACAAAAGTTCAACATGGCACATAAGTTTATTGCACAACTAAACAGTACTAACCCAAACTTGAGTAGATCCGCACCGGCCAAAATAGACGCCACCGTCCATTTGGCCAACTTGCACGAGTTATTTTTCAGTTCTGATGCAATTACAGCGCCACGTTGCGTGTCCAGTTTGGTGCGCCAGTTTACTCCATTGCAATACTACCAGAGTGGAAAGAGGAAATCAGTTGGTGACCTCGTGAGCAGACAGTTCAACATATCAATCCAGTACTACCCACACGACTGTCAAACTCGTTAAGCGCTTTGATGCAGCAGAATTTTGGCACATCCGGACCGGCACCAGCCTCTTGCTTCTCTTTCTCTTCTGCCCGTAGCGGCATCACTGCATCGACCTCGCACCGCACCACCATGTTTATGCCGTTGCCAAGGTCGAACTGGCGGTAGCGGTAGCCCACGGAGGCCACCCTCTCTGCCTCCTCTTTGTCATCCGAGTCGATGAAGGGATTTTTGTGCTTAAAGTTATACAGCTCACCACCCTACCAAAAAAAGGAAGAAGGAAGTCACATTCCAACACTACTTACACCATTTTTTAATCTAATGACAATCTGGTTTCGAAGTTGATCAAGAAGTTGACTACGCATTCATGCACCTAGATTATTTGGAAGAGTGTACCCAAATCGCCCCTTTAATATGAATTCAAGCAGAAATCTGGGAATTGCCAATGCAATCGACAAAGCAGCGTTTAATACTGAAGGCAAAAGCACTCAATCAACACTATCATATAGAGTGAATGGAGATTAATGCATCCTAAGAGTCTCATTAATGTCCTACTACAATTTCGAAGCTTGAAAATTTGAGTCCGAAATTATTCAAGGAACCAAAAACGACAGAAATCAATTCTCACCGTTTGCAGGACCTGCTGCGAGAAGTTGATGTTAATGAAGGTGGCCTCCAAAGCTAGTTTCTCGGGACTGTTAATGTGGCCCGGCTCCTCACTGGGTGGATCGATAGCCGTTTCCGCCACCGTAACATGGTCAAAATTGGAACCAGGACGGACGTCGAAGAAGAGCTTGTCAGCAATGCGGATGGCCAGGAGGTCCCAGGAGTCCACCGATTTGGGCGCACACATTATGGCTGCAGCGATGCGATCCGTACAGAAAACATTGAGGTGTCGCTCCCTCGCCAGATTCATAATCACGGGATCCTCGGAGGTGGTTACAGCATGCACCACGCCGTTGAAACGAACAAGGGGTTTCTCACTACGAGTACTGATTGTGTCATAGGTACGATCATAGTACTTCACCGTACCGCACTCCGCACTAGGTAATAAAAATACGCCTTGAGGGGTAAAGTGCTCTACCGTTTTAATCACAAAAGCAAACCAAGCTCACCAAGTGATAGGCTCTTTCACCGAGGGCAGAGAGAGCGAAACGAATTGACTAAACTCGAAGTCCTCAAGGAGGTTCCACTCTTCCTTAACTTCTACTGAAGGATTTCGATTGCCACGGTTTGGACGACGATTGTAGTCATTGCCTTGACGCCAGCCACCTCCACCGCCACTGCTACCCCAGTTACTGCCACGACGCCAGTTGTTCTGCCAGTTTGGCTGGTTGCCATAACGACGTTGCTGCTGTTGCTGTTGCAGAGCGGCCCTCTCGCGTTCAGTGAGTGGTCGGCGTTGACGGCCAGCAAAGTTACCCAGAGACATGAACTGACCACCACCACGGGATTGGAATCCGGACTGAAAGTTTCCACGCCCGCGTCCACGCTATACAAAGATGACATAGGGAAGGATGTGAACCTACCATTTGGTACCTGAAACGTTGACGGAACGCGCTGGATTTAGGCTCTTTCCCACTTGTGGCCAGCTGGAAATTGCTATCATCTTCGTCGTGATAGTAGGTGTACTGAGCACCACCACCAAACTGAGAAACGTAACGGTCTAAAGATGATAAATTGAAGCAAAAAGTTTCTACTCTTCGATTTCAGATCCGGGTAGATGGTGCCGCACCAGTCTGCTATTTTGCCCAATCTCGTGTCCTTCGAGAATGGTTGATAAGGCATATCTTTGAAATTGGTTGGAACATTAGAGGGTCCCCAACCTTCACTATTGGAATTTATCGATAAATCCCCAAAAGAAGGTAGAACTTCTTCGACTACTGACATGGTCAGGCTATCTTGGCTCAATGAGTTGATGGGTTGGGATGTTCGACCAATCTTGACCGGGAAACTTATTGACGAGAGATTGACAATGGTTTTTGAGCTGTATTAAAATGTAATAAAACAGAAATTAGTTAGCCTTTAAAATTTACGAAATAACTTTACGACTGTAAGTCCAGCACTACAAACGACAGAGTCCCAAGAATCTCTCCATTTTTGCAATATTCAGTGGTAGTCGGTCACGAGTAAATATACTTAAGAAATCACTCACCTTCATTAATTTAACCCAAATGGCAGCAAAATTAAGCAATGCTTTGATGCTTTCACCACTTGTTTTAGATGTCAAATGACAATACCATTCTACCAAATACATAATCAAGTAAGCAACAAACGATTTTAATGAATTTAAAGCTTTTTTAAAATATCTGTGAGCATCTGAAAAAAGCTTTGCGTAAGTCAATCCTGATGTTAGGGAACCTGCATTGTTCTTTTAGAATTTGTGTCAAAGATCGTCTCAAATTATTTTGTGCCGATTTATTTGCCCTACTGCAGCTGTTTGAGACTTCTCGAAGACAAAATAATACATAATACCCCGACGGAATGCATGAATTTGACACGCAGTAGGCATTTGTGCTACTGATATGGCCTGAAGGCCTGCTGACCCGGCTACGAATGTTGGCGAAGTCGAAAGTGGCTCTTTACCGAAACCGACCGTTAAACGCACAACCAACGCTTTACTTTGCCCCCCCTCCCTTCCTCTTTTAAGCGCCGTCCTTGGCATTGCCCTTTGGTCCACCTCCTGCGTTAGCAATGACAACGTAGTCAGTGCTGTAAGCCAAAACTTAGAAGCCGGTCGTGCCAGTCATTACAGAGCTTTCCTACTCTTCCTACATAAACCTTTTGATAAAGTGGCTTCGCGATACCTTTTTCACTTCTCTACTAGCTGGGTGGATCCCGGATCGATGCGACTGAGCGGCTTCGAAGTAAAAATAACATGGCAGGGAGGAACTAGACGCAAAATCCCCCCCCCCCCACAGATCTGTGTAAAATCTTATCCAGCCTTAAGCAAATCTGCCTTTAAGCCAATGTTCCCACATCTACCCACGGACACGCATAATGTTCAACATGAAATTCCATATGTAGCTAAATTGCCAAGAGGGATCAGTGACGTTGCGGTCACTGATTTAACACAGATCTGTAGGGGGGGAGGATCTTGCGTCTGTTCCTCCTTGCCACGTTATTTTCACTTTGGAGCGGCTCAGTTGCATCTATCCGGTCTCCATCTAGCTGGTAGGGAAGTGAAAAAGGTACCGCGAATTCACTTTATCGAAAGCTTTATGCAAGAGAAGTAGGAAAATTCTGTAATGAAACTTTTCCAGATGGTTCATGGCTAGTGCCGCTTCAGTAGTTAATAGCTTTCCTATCGATGATAAACGTCAATCTTCACCTCTCTCTTTGAGGTTATTACCGATTCTAGCATCTGTAGCATTTTCACTTCTTCTGCTTGGCCAAGATTTATCTTGCGGCAGTAAAAAGCAGAATAGATGTCCTTTACTTTTGGAGTCGCATTCCACTGTCACAGATATAGAACCCCGAGACTATCCTGTATACGAAAGTGTAAATAATACTGGCATGGCTAGGAGGTCAGCCCAGTGAGCGGAGGCCCAGGTTTCCAAAACTAGGCGTAAAGCAACCTGAATATTAAGTTCCTCTTTTAAAAAACCTTAATTATTTGCAATGGGCAGCGTTCGCTAAAACAGAATTCTCCGACTTCTACTGTTTTACAAAAAAAATGGGAGAAATCGTCTTAAGCTTTATTTATTTTGTAAGACTGTAAAGTAGAGTTTGGTGGCAACCTTTAGTATGTGCAAACCCTGCATTAGTCAAGCTTTATTCCTTCAGTGGGTCTGCTCAATCAGGGGTGGCTTGAAAAGTTAGCGTAGGCTTATAAACAAGGCATATTATTTCACTATATAGCCTCGTTTTAAAGTGTTTTCGTTGCTGCTTCTCATAGCACTATTCGAGCATCAGGAAATTACTGCCAGTACAGTGTCACCAGGATGAATAAGTACTTCTAGCTTATCTTACGTGGACTGCCTGAAGGCTGCTTTGTGAGAGCTGGCTCACTATATACTGAGCTTTATTTAGGCAGCGTCATGCAGCGATCGCACTTTTTCTAAGGCTTGCATTTCGAGTTATCGCTTGTAATACTCGGTGCTTCTCTCTTCCGCCTATACCTTCATGAACATAGAGCGAGTAGACGGGTTAAACAGGGGCGCACTTTATTAAAGATCAATTACTTAAAAGACGCAGATGTTGAAACTTATGTTTGTTTAGGGTACGTTTCCTCTTCAAGTCCGATGGTGCCCGGTCCATCACGAGGTCCGCATTTACTGACAACCTATCGTTTAGAAGATGTAAATAAACGGAAGCGCATTGCGCAGCTGTTTCCGGAAAAATTATTTCCACAAAAAGTTTCGCACTCATGCTCTTTCAATTTTACGTTTATTTTATTGTTATCAAGTACCGATTCACTTTACAATTCTTATTGCACAGCCCTACGTGCCCCCAGAAAGTGGGGGGAATCAGACTGATATGGCAGAAATTACATTACTGGCGATCGTAAGGCTATGTTTCCTTTTTTAGAAGTCTGATAGTTATCACTATCAGAATAGTTGTTTATCTAATCAACATTTCGTCTGTTTTTTCAACTCGTAGAAACGATAATTGCTTACTTATATTGACTTCGAACATCATTTGCCCATAATTTCCTAAACAAGTTTTTATGCACCACCATCTCGCATTTTATGGTCTGTCTTTGTTCAATGTCAACGGCAACATTAAAGTCGCCTTTTCGTGCGAAACGTAGCATTAAACGAGGTTACAAACAGGATTCAGGTAGTTTAACAGCGAATGTTTCTGGCTGCAGATTCCCGATAGGTAACTGCTGCGTTATCTTACGCTTCAGTAAAGCAAATTATTCAGGAATTTGGCTTCCAGATTGAAAACAGAGAAAACCACACAACAGCGTATGAATATTTTTAAGTGAGATTGTATAGTTTTCTAATATGGTCCGATACTTTTATCCCATTTGAGAAATTGTGGATGCTTAAGCCTTACCAAAGGGTTAACCACTTTCCTGGTATGGTGGAAATTTGTCGAAAGGACTTTTTTACAAAACACTACAATAAGTAAGTACAAAGCCAAATATAACGTAATGTTTCCTGCTTATTTCGCCTTTATTTCGGTTAGTTGAATTTACGAAAAGTCAAACTTCTTAACTGATTGAGGTTTAATATAGTAATTTATAATAAGACATCTTTGTATAATCCACCGTTTGTATAGCATATTGAGACGTTTCGCCAGAAATCAATTTGCTCTGTAAGAAGAAAGGCACTAGAAATATGTTGGATACCTGCTTGAGCGCTTAAGCTACCTTCTTTTCTATCAAACACTAAATTTGTTTTAATATGCAACCTAGAACCATAGTTATGATTAGTGTAATTCTCCTTCTACGTATTTATTCAAGTTTCTCTACTGAGTCACTATGTACACGAAGTAGACCCCTTCATTTTGACTGTTGTTGAGCCGAGTGATGATTGTACCTTTCCAGTAATTAGTTGGTTATTTCAAGATACTCTGACTACGTAAGACACTTTATTTAAAAAGAATCCGTTGCTCACTACAAAGTGTTAAAAATACCTTCTTTCTATTCAAGACAAGCAAAATCTGATTCAAGGAATTACAACTTTTATCCAAAAACATGGATTCTGCCACAAGAATACGCTGCATTTCTAACCTATGCTCGCAAGAATCCTCATCCTGCTTACATCGTAAAACCAGCCAATGGTGCAATGGGGATGGGGTGAGTTTATTTTTAAAAATCTTTTAAATAAATTTACTTGCAGTCATTAGGCTGTCTTCATCAAATATTTGTGCTCTAAAGAGGCGGTATCCTCAGACAATGTATTTTTTAATTACAATTAAGAATCCGGCTATACCGCAATGTGGAGAGCGTACCATCCTCTAGCTCACAATACGGCCCATGCGTGGTGCAGGAGTACGTTACCAACCCCTACCTTATCGACGGCTTCAAGTTTGACTTGCGTGTCTACGTACTCATCACTTCCTGCTGTCCTCTGCGCATCTTCGTCTACAACGAGGGCCTGGTACGATTGAGTGCGGAGAGGTACAAGGATCCCATGGGACCGAATGGTGTATGCATACTGTTTTACCATAGAATTATAATATATAGTAGCAAAAGTGTCAGTTAGGCATAAAATGGTCTTTTATTTCCATCTTAATCTCATCAGGAATCCATGTATCGCCATCTGACCAACTACGCGGTGAATCGCAAGCACCACGCCTACATGAAGACCAACGATGAGACCGATGGTAACAAACGTTCCTTTGCGTTCCTCGAGGACTACCTCGCTCGACATGCCGGCCTCTCCGACTGCCGCATGCTGTGGCGTCGAATTCGCAATCTCGTCGTAAAGACGGTTATTCTTGCCGCTCCTCATGTCTACCACGGTTACCGTCTTTTCCATCATTCCGAGGATTATCGCTGCAGTTCTGGCACCCCCTCTGGGTCTACTACTACAACGACGACGACTTCATCAGAAACACGTTTTGGTGGCTTTAATGGAAGAGGGGGTGGGAGCACCCATTCAGCAGCTTTTGAGATCCTTGGGTTTGATGTAATTCTCGATGCGGACCTAAAACCGTGGTTGTTGGAAGTAAATCGGTCGCCTTCGTTTGGAGTAGACCAGAGCCTTGACCTAAGGGTGAAGTCGGGCTTGCTAAGGGATGCGCTGGCGCTTATCAACATCCGGTGAGTTTATTGTAAGCCATCAGTTCTTGGCGATGCGGGTGCTAATGACTTTGCAGTGTCTGTTCTAAACGTGAATATAACGCATCGGCAGATCTACAGTTAGAACGAAAACAGATTTATCTGCTCCAAAATCTGCAAGCACTATTGACCCTGATGTTTACTACCTTTCAGCGCCTCGGACAAGCGTCGCTCGGAGGAGTGGCAGCGAGCACACGCGGTGCAACGTCTACTGAACCCCACGACAACAGCACTGAACGCTGTTTGTGACACCAAGTTGTGGCAGTGCAGTGGTACCCTTAAGTCAAAGTACCTAGCCTCCGACTGGCTAAAAAACCCCCGCGATCTACTCAATCGCATCAATGGCATCGTGAGTCTATCCCTCTGCCTCCTCGTTGTTCATCTTTTGCTAGATAAGCACCGTCATCGAAATCTAATTGCTGATTTCTATCATCACCCCGTCTACATTTATTCCATTCCGACTAGCGCGAGCGGTTGGGCAAGATGCACCGGGAGGCGGATTTGGAGTGTTTCGAGAACTCCAACTGCGGCAACTGGCGTCGTGTCTACCCTACGATGGACAAGACACTGGAGCAACGATACACCACACTTATGGTGAATGTCTTTACCGAATTTAACAAGGGACGACCTGGTGATGTTGACCGTGTCATACCTGCCTCGCTGTCCGAAAGCCAGAAGGTAAGTTAATTTAATCTTCGAAAAGATAAATACTACTTATCAGTTATAAGTAAAGGACTCTGTTTGTCGCAGACACTTTGCTGGGTAGGCTTTCGGTTGTCGGAATACCTCATTTTTATTGTATTTCTGCAATTTTTTTGCTCTGTACAATTTCATTCACTTGTAAACACTACGTCTACGGTTGCTTTTTACAGTTTTAGCCTTTTCTAAAAGATCGTTTTCCTCTTATTTGGTGTCCGCTTATACTTGGGGAAAAGCATATTAAAGACTAATAAATGAAAAATTAGCCATGCTCTTAGAGATGTCTATCCTTCATTATCGTCAGATTAGACCCTCTTGCTACTAATTTACTAGTATTTAATGATGATTTTAATGGTATCCACCGTAACCCATCATTATATGTCTAGTAAATTCGATTTTTTAGTCATTATTTGAAATCAAAAGAGAGCTTAAGATTTTCGTTGAGAAGGAAACTTAATACCTAATATATAATTCGGATCAAGAGACCAAAGTTAACATCCTGTTAAATTTTTGTGATAAATCATTTCGTTGCATTGGTGTTCATAGCACAAATTTAATTTATTTTATTTACCAATTTATGTTTCCCGTGATTTCAAATAGTAATTTAAAACCGGGCTTTAGCAAAGCTCCATTTCTAATAAAACAAATAAGTTCGAGAGTACTACTTATTTTTTGGTTTCAGTCCCACCTACTTCTAGAAATACCTTTTTTCGCCCATTCCTGCCTAATCAGGCCGCCAAGACAAAAAGAAGCTGCTGTTCTGTATATCTTTCAAACTATTTTGAGTAAGCGATAGGTCTATTCGAAAAACCTTGCAGCACGAAAGTAATTAACTGATAATTAATACTTAGACTCGGCTATTTACAGTCTTTCCTTGTTTATGGCATAATTTCTCTCGACATCACGAGAAGCTATGCACGCTGGCCGAATTTTGATGACTGTGGGCGAGACTCCAGCAGGGATAAATCAACCCGCCGTCGATGCAATTAATCTTTGTTTTATGTAAAGTGCAGTAAAAAAAGTGCCTGATTTTCCTCTTGTTTTCTATTTCTACTATGGAATATAGAAGTACCTGAGTGCGTGTTCCACGCTCCTCCGCTTCTCCTTCCGGCTCTTTTGATTAACTACCCACTTGGGTATGATCACCTACTTTCGTGGTTTTAGAAAAGATAAAGATCTGTCTCCAAGGTGGGCTTGGAGCATCTATTGTGTCAAGAGGAAAAATTCTAATTAACTTTTTATGGCTAAAACGTTTCTAAAAGCTCTAACCTGTTGAAATGCTTGCAATAATGCTTTTATCAAGAAATGTGGATTACGTGAAATTACAGCGAGGCAAATCCAAATCCGGGAGCCAGTAAATTTGCCGCTTTGCCCGGATTTTACGCTTTAACTCTCACTGCCACAGTTGCTAAAGGAATACACTCCAACTTAGGATTCATGCATATTTCGATGTGAGAAGTAAAAAGTCTCTTGCGGCCACTGCAGGTAACTTAAGAGGTAACCCGCATCGAAAGGACTTTTCAATTAACCTCGGTGTCAATGCCATCGCTAGCAAAAGTTAAGCATGACATCGCATATGCTGCAATCATTTGTCGAGATTATCAAAATCGCATAATGGCTCATAGGAATTAGCCTATGGTGAGTGTAGAATTGATAACTCGGTGAACACGGAGGTTTGGGCTTTCTTACTCACTGGTTGCTAATAAAACAAAGTGAAATAGCTGGAAGGTCATCTTGCTGTTAGGAAATATGCACTGCAGCCGACAGCTGATGACCCCAAAGGAGAGTGGGATGTGGCATACCTGGCCTTTCCTCTTAGTGCAATTAATCTTTATCTACAAAAAGCGCAGTTACCAAATGCCTTCGGAATGTGGGAAAATCCTGTCTGTGAATTCAACTGGCCGCCGTTTTTCCGGATTTGGAGGAATAAACATTGACATTCATTACAGATTGTAGGAAATATAAACCTTCAGTATGAGTTAAGGTAACAAGAGTTTAATTAGTTTCAGAGCTGGTGGTTTGGAAGTTTAAATCGGTTTGTGTTTGATTCTAAATAAAAGGTTGTAAGCGTGTTGAGTCCTACTTAAATGTGTTAGTAAGTAGGCCTTGGGATTAAGTGTACCTTACTCTTTAGCTAAAGAGTTCACATTAATTCCTAAGCAGGTAAACAAAAACCATAGCACAGATTGATTTTATAGCGCTTGTTTAATTCTAAAGTCGAGTTGATCAGCATTGAGGGCGCTACTTAAGTATTTAGTAAGTAGGGCTTCAGATTAAGTGGCCTTCGCCGTCTGGATACAGTTGAATACAGCTAATTTATTTCGTAGTTCATATTTTATGTGACTAAAAGTGCTTTTATTAGCGACCTAATGTTTGATTGCAACATCAACTGCTCCAATCGCCTTTTCATATGATTTTCTTATTAAATGGGGATCATCAAACTTTTTAACTAAATTTGGTACGTTTCAAGACACAGAAAAGTTAATTAAACATATCTAAGACTGAAGGTATTGAAAAGGGGACAATATGGAATTAACAAGGCTGTAATTCCGCATTGTTGGATTTTTCCTCAAGGTGGATAATTGATGCGTCCTTCTTATCTGTCTAATTTAGGAGGAGGAACTTCGACAACAATTGTACTACTTGGAGAAGGAGTCTGCCAAGTTGGTGAAGCAACGTGTGAGTCACAATCATGCCTAAATTGCCCCTTTTAAAGGTACAAATGCCACAGATACTTGTTAAAGTAGTAGAGACCGGTCGGCTGATTGATGAAGTGATTTTTGAGCCGCATCTTTGTGGGTTTTTTACAAGGACCAAATATGCAAGCAGAAATGCATGTTGTGACATCACCTGAACAAACTGAGCTCAGAAATTCATTTTACCCCTACATTTCTCGAAATACCTTTTGGAGGTATGTTTGATAGAGAAATATTGGAAAAACAAAGGCAGATTTTGCCCCATCTTGTTTCTGCAGACTAATCATTTGTGTTCCTGCATTGTGAGCCACCTTCCGCTGCTATTGATAAATCAACGGCAACACGCATTATGAAATGATTCAGAGAATGCCCCACTGTCAGACACTTTACAAGCGTACTTGATAAAACGCCTTAATGGTATCTTAGGATGATAAGATTTCGTATGAATTTTGGTTTGATATGCCCTAGTGACTTGTTTCCAACTGCGTGCATGAGTAAGTCGGGTGTGATTGTTTATGCGCATCCAATAAACACCCGGATTTGCGTCAGTCTGGGGCTTTCCCCTATTGTGCTCTCTGCCAACTTCCTGCTATTTACAATCAGGCATTTTACAAAATGTCAACTAAAATAAACTAGTAAAGGTGATTCCGGATGTGAAATGGGGTCTAGGCATAATATTATTGTCCGAATTATCCCCGAAGACGTCCCAAGACAAACGACTCGGAAAGGTGCTTTTTGAGTCAGTAGAGATATGCATTAAAACTCATGCTCACGGGCCACCAGAAGGCCTTGCTTGGCCCTGTTTACGCCCCCCAGTAGTGACTCTTCTACATCTGTAGCCAAATCAACAATCAGTGGGTTAGAAATCCACTTTGAGTGACGTGGTTACATCAAATTTTTTTAAGTGCTACCTTTGTACTTAATGGGTATTTAGTAGCAACATGTCCTTCACCTTGTCGACACTCAATCCAGGTAAATGACAAGATCCCACTGCCACAACAGCCAAAAACGCAACATCAACAACATCACCGCCAGCAACAGCAGCATCACCTTCGAGTGCTCAATACCGGCGCCTCAACTCCCCCCACCTTCCCTCCCAGGTATTGCTTTCGTGAGAAGTGGTGCAGTAGGAACCAATCCGCGGTGTCTATGTTCTCACATCCCTTCTGGGAGGACCCTAACGGGCTAGCCGAGTCCGATGAAGAAGGTGAAGAAGAGGTAAAGAAGGAAGAGGAAGAGGGGAGTGGTGGCAAGGAGTTTCTTTACCGATTTTAGTTGCGGAGGGACCGGTTAGCCTTCGCTATCATTTTCGTTTTCATTCATAGAGGAAGAATGGCAAATACATGTCTGCCTATTGTGCTTGTGTGTCTACGTGTGTCCGGTTTTTTTAAAAACAGTGTTTATTTTTGCTTAAAAATTTAAAAAAAAAAAATGTGTATTGGGTGCTTGGCTCTTCTGACTTTGTCAGTAAGGCGCGTAAAATTGGAGTGGAGCCTAATTATCTGTTTGTTGATCAAAACATGCAAGGTCTTCTCTGAGCAGTTGCATGTATCCAAGGTTTGACAAGTCTCTCTAGCGCTTGGAGATATTGATCCCGGAATGAGGGTAGCTTGCAGGCCTCTGATGATAGTATGGCGTCAGAGTTGGGTAAAATCTACCCAAAAATACGAATATATCTCCTTCTGACCCTGGAATCACCACGACTTTGAGGTAAGGCACCCTCTTTACACCCCTTCAGATAAGCAGGACCATCTATTTTGGTATTATCTGTTGATGCATGCGACCTCCAGTTGCCCAGTTGCCTCCCTCAGCACAACTTCCTCTTCCCAACCGAGACCGTGTCAACACGGTGTTTCAGCGCCACCCTTCGTTCTTGTTAAGCGTGTCCATCTCCAGCAGTTCCAGTAAGTCGTGCCTCAATCATTCATCAGGAGGATGGGCTGACCCTTAACGATGCATCTATCTCACCAGCCATCTATCTTGGTGTACTGTATCACCAGAATGGGATTGACTGAACCATTTTCGGACGGATTTGGATTTTGCTCTGTTACTGCATACCCGACCTTCTTCAATCGCAGCACAGTAGACTTGCCGGGAAGCTTTTACCACCACATTCACAGCCACAACCTTACGATCGGGGCCAACTTGTTCTGTGAAGCCGATAAGCTTAAAGAACATTGTGAGGATGAGGACTTGAGTCAGTCCATTTACTTCCCTAATCTCGTGACTGGTATCCCCCTTTTCATTTTCCCGTCCACTTGACGCTAGTGACATACCATTTCAACTTGACCTTTGACCTTTCTGCTCATCAGTGGCAATCGGAGGTTCAGTTCCGATTTTATTGAAAGGAATGTATAAAGTTTATTATTCAAGTCATTTGTTTTGTTTCCAGGAGTTTAAGAACCTTTCACAGTTTCTACTCGTTAGAAACACAATTTGTTTGTGAAATGACTTACCAGCGGAGCTTAGTATCCTCTCCCGCCCTCACATCGACCCTTGCACTCTGTCATAGAGAAATAAGGGGTATGCGACATTTTGTTCACATTCTTTACGAAAATGTTGATGGATGTGCCTGGAATTTGCATTTCCTAGGCACCATGCACTTCTCCAGAGGAAATTGGGATGCATAACGCCACCGCCAGCTAAGCTGAAGCGAACCACCAAACAGTTCCTCGATTTTGAAGTAATTTGGTCACTTGGATTTCGTCGCAAGTGTGGTAGTTTGGATCTGTGACGAATTCGCCTGGAGATGGGGGCTAATGAGGTGGATCCCACCTCGAAGTGGCCTTGAACTAACCAAGTTTCGGGTAAGCTTGTCATTCCTTGTGTCGATTGGGATTAGGTTAACTGCTCTTCAACTTCACAGCGTTATTTCGAGTAATTACACCTTTTCCATTGACTTCTGACTGCCTTAGCAACGAGTGATAATAATCGGGGGAGTAAGGAGGTATATTCTGAGTGGTAACTTTAATCTTGGCAGGGATTTTAGGCGCCTTGTGGACGATCTGAACGGCGACCAAGATGGTGGACAGGAGTGAGGAGGTATTGCGCCATCAACCACGCGGAAATTGAAGCCAAGACCTGAAGGGAGCGTTGTTTAGACAAGTGTCTTGGATACAGAACTGACCACCAGCAAGCCACCTAAGATGTCTCAGCATTGATACGTCAACCTTCAATCACCCTGCAGCTGTTCAGCATTACGGATGAGCATTATTGGAAGATCGCCAAAGAAACCCAACTTTTAGCTGAGGTCTCACCAAAAGGCAGGTTTATTGCCACTCGGATTTGTTCCAACTTGTTGAATACCAGTCAGTTCGTAACAGTAGTAGGAGAAGAGAAAACCTCATCATTTTTGACGTGGTTCGCTTCCATGTCTTGTAACTTGTGGAAACTTGTAAAGAGGACGCTTAGAGAAGTGTGGAGGGATGCAAGTTAGTGGACCGGTAGGGCACTACCCCTCTCCTACCACTTCGGCCTCTCAACTCATGCAGTGTCACTTTGACTAACTGGTGGACCTTGGTCCGCTCCACGAACTAATCTGGACTTGGTTACAGGGTTTTGACCATGTGCCACACAGTATGGTACGTCAGGATACGTCCAGAATTAGTTCAGTCAATTCCATTGTGGTGACGCTACACTCCAGGATGGACAGATGATGAGGTAGACGCATCACGTTAAAAGTTGGTCGCGGGAGGGCCACCTCATTCACATTGAAAAATTGTGATACGACTAAGCGGAACCACTGCCGATCAAGGTGCAAAGGACTTGCAGAAGGCCATGCTAAACCGTATTGGTGGATGATGCTGATGATGTTGTTGGAACACTTTGTTGGCAGGTGCGTCAATTGAGAGGAGGAGGAGGAGGAGGAGGCAACTCAAATGACAGGCAAGAGGCTACAAAGCCTACCAATTAACTGCTCTTCACTCTTTTCAAGCACTCAAGTAGGACTGTTGGCTATCTCACTTATGATGAGAAGTGGCATCCATTTTTTGTCCTTCAACTCGCTTGGGGCGAATGGACATACACTACTGGCCGTCTCCGGAGGATGCATTCACTACTGCCCAACCAACGCTTTCCATGCAGGTGCCACCGCATCCCCACAGGACTGTGCTAACTTTCCACGTGTGTATGTGGCTGGCTGGAGATTGTGTTGCGTCCACCTGTTGAAGGCCACGGCGTTGTAGCGGTGACGCACCTACTCTATTCAATGCGATGCGAGGTCTGGCCTTGCAGTCCTTACCCTCATGTTCATCCTCCCCAACTCCTTCTGGTGAAATTTTTATACCGGCTCCCTCTCATTTGTAATGGATATTCCCACGTCGAATGCACTAGACATGCGAAACTCTTGTAGGGGACGCCAAATGTCTTTTCAATTTTTAAAATCAATTGCTCAGGTTTTCGTTTTCATTTTATGAACCCTCACGACTTTACCAGACCACCATGTGGATTGCGATGGATCGACGCCCATGCTAAGGGCAGTGAAGAGGGATGGACTTGATCGTGCGCCACAATTTGTTCCCACTTCCAATTTCCATCCAATTCAGCACCTCTCAAACCACATGTAGGTGCTAATGAACGGCTTCTTCATGGTAGTCCAGGTCTTGAGGGCTTGGTGTGTTGATGTTACAACTGGATTTCATTAGCACTGGTCAAGGTGACTCGAATGTCTACAAATTTTAGTCAGGTGGCAATTTTTTCGCATCCATTCAACAGTAAGTTTCTCCTCAGTCAGACCCTAGAATCGGTAATTCCGAGAAGTTTGACTGTCTCGTAAAATCGTTTGACTATTTCAAGAGTCCACTAACTTCGCTGCATGGACAAGGCTTTCACCTATGAACCCAGTCGGCAAATTCATCCATATATCAGCCATCCTACCTCCATCCACTGTATTTCCTGGACTCCTTCAGGTGTGAATATATTGTCACATCTTCTGGACTTCCTCGATGTCATTAGTTGATGTGATCATATTGGCGATCAATTAACGCAGTATATTTTCCTCATCCCCCTCCTCCCCCTCCTCCTCCTCCTCCTCCCCTTGACAAGTTTAGACACTTCATATTTAGCTAAAACAAGTGACTCAACTACTCCTCTTTTTGGCATTTAGCCAACGAGGGGAACGAAAAATAACCCAAGTTTGGGGCCTCCAACAATCAGACAAACTTAACTAGCATTACCAGGGCAATGCAGACTGTCTCGTTGGTTGTCTGCTTGTTATTTGGCTGTCTAGGTGCAGAGGAGGGCTTTATTAATGCCACGAAAATCCACGCCTGGAAGGCAGACACCTTACGAATTTTTGACAGACCAACTCTCTTCTGCCCTCGATTAGGGCGCGGTGGCATTGCAGGAAGAAGTTGCCTGCTGTGAATGGCTGAAACTGGGGTGAAGGGCTAGCGGAGGCTTGACGAGTGTCCGCAAATGTCGTCATTTCGAGTTCTGCACACTAGCTCTGAATAAATCGACACGGGGAGTGGATAAAATTGAAACAGAAGCTTGAGGAAGTGCTCATGTCATCTTGATATCTGTAAGGCACTTTACATCTTGGTGTTGTGAACCGTGCTATATCGTGGGAAAAGGTAACTCTGAAAGCGGAATTTACAGATCCAGATTTGGATTTAAGGTACCAAAGAGGAGAAAATGCAAGAAGTCCAATCCTGGTCCGGGTAACCGGCTAATTGTGAATTCCTTAACCATACAAAGATGAGTTCTAGCTAGAAGTAGTGCCTCTAAGTAGTCGATCTTCGACTTTTAAAGAGCGCTAATTAAAGAGGAATAATCGTTCCATCACCATCATCATCGTCGTCCATTTGGGTAGCAGATGTCAAACCCCAACCTCCACCCGTTTACAAAACCAGCCAGTGGAATGGCGTCGACTGTCGATTGGAGAGCAATGACGTCACTTGTGAGCAACTACTAAAGTTGGTAACTAGGCGCTAGGTGGGTCTCTGAGAGGAAATTTCTGTCGGTGGCATTAAAAATGCATTAGGATTGCATGCATGCATGCACGCCGACGGGGATGCCTCAAGTAACCGCTGTCTCCTGCATTAAAATACAGGAAACAATACTGAAAATCGCTTGAAATGTCTGCGATTGTGGTAGCATAGCTTCAATGTAGGTTTTACTACTCGTGATTATATCTTTTTAGCATTTTTTCAATGTTTACGACAAATCGTATTCCACCCAAATTACCCCCACTTCAAGACATTTTATTTTTATTTAAAATGCTTGGAAAATCGAGCCTGAAAACAGCTGTCTTAAAGATTTAGACAATTGTTTATCACAACCACGACTCTGTTAAAGGTTGCGTACTAAAAACGCGCGAAAACGTCAGAAGGAGTTATAAGGTTTGAGGTGACTTGTTTTTTTTCTTATTGAGGAAACTCCGAAATTTAGGGAGATCAATAGATGTCAGCAAAGTACTTCAAGAAAGCCTTTTGCGATTAGAATATGTTTTCCACTTGAACGTCATAAGCATAGCCTCATTCGAGTAATTAGTTTTAAATGTAAAAATGGACAAGGTACTTTTTGGCATGAGACAAATGCGATAACCCAAATTCTGCCTTAAATCACTTTAATATGATTTAAAACTCCACGTTTTAATTCAAGAAATTTGGAAATCTCTTGATTTGTTTTGACGTTATTTGACAGATCCGTCGCTATGAACGTGGCTTTTTGTAGAACTGGTTCTTCCATTGATGAAAGAAGTGGAATAAAAAGGGAGTGCTATGTGTGTAGAGGGATAAAGTGGGGAGATGAGGCAGGGGAGTAAGTTCCGTGCTCAACGAGATGAGTTGTCATTGAAATGTCGTTGCTCGTACTAATGCAATCGCACTGCAGCTGTCATGCGCTTTTGTCAGCCGTGGAGATTCGCCTGCGCCATCTCCGGCCCTGCGCATGGTTTTGCTCTTAGTGGGCGAGCCCTAGGATGGGCATGTCTATACCAGCCTGGGACTGGCTTCTGCCGCCTGTGGTCAGGTGCGCTCGTTTACGCTTGTGGTGCTTCTAAGACGGCTAAGTTCATCGCTCCCCACCGCGCTAGCTTGTGTGAAGCCAGCCCTAGTCCAGTGATGAGTTTGTGCGCCTTCTATGGTTGTGTTTGCTAGTTTGTACAACAAAAATTCAGCGGAAATGGTCGCCCAAATTTGTAGGCGGATTTACTGATTTTAACTTTCTAGGATACCAATGCACCTCGTTCCTCAACAAACTCGGATGAATACTTGCTGAATCTTGTAGGGGTGTTCACCGACGTTAACCAGATTGGTATTTCGGTTTTTTAAATAGAATAATTTAAATCGACTTCACTTGAAACCTAAAAAGTGGGTGAAACTGCTACTTTTATCTGCAAAAGTGGAACGCCACATGTTAATTGCCGAAAGTCACTAACAGGATTTCGAAAGGGCTACTATAATAAGGAAAACCTGCTTCGTGTTTATTAAAAAGAGGTGCAAGTACCGAATGTCGAGAATGACATTTTCCTAGGTTATCCATGTTTACAAAATCTAATATGACGATTAGAAATATAACAACATTATGATCTTCACTTATAAAAGTCGCTTTAAAAAGGGGGGTTTTTACTTCTCAAGAATTGTGTTTGCTGATTTCTATTGTCCCGTGTTCCCAAACACGTGGCATTTATTTCTCTCCGAGTGATTAATGACTCTGCATAACCACGTAGATCCTGAAGGTTTCAAGTAAAAAAAAAGGAAGTCGGTTTCCGTGTATTTGATATTCTACCAAAAATTGAGCCTCTAATGCAACCGGAGCAGTGGTTTATAAATAGCTTTGTAAAGTTCTTTGTTATTTGCTTGTGTTTAGCTGAAATACTTTAAAAAAGCTAAAAAAAGAACAAAAATCCTTGTCGAATGGAAGAAGGAGGAGGAAGTACATTTGCCAGCTTCAGTCACAGAAGACGATGCTGTCCATACACTAGAAATTCCGTCCTCACAACAGTCCGATGAAATGATTGGTAAGGGCCTCCTTCACTAAAAACCGTCTCATCCATTCACTAATTAAAATGTGTGAAATAGCTTTTCATAAAAGG